CTGTGGAGCAAATGCCATCGGCTTGGATTTGATCAAGATATCGAGGACCTCATTCGAAAAGGTAGGACAGTGATGTGTTGTGTCTGTCAGTGTGCAATGCAGATTATATTGCTTTTATGTCAGAAGAGTATTGGCATTCCTCAAAACATCTGGTTTAGGGTGACTCTGAACTTCTACAATTAATTCAGCCCAAACCACTATTTAATCTAGCTTAGTCATATTATCTATTTATTTATAAATCGTAAATAGAGATAGGCTAAACCAATAGTCCGTTTCACCGATATTTTTTCAGAGACATTTACAATTTTCTACATATTTCACATATCGGTTTCCATAGTCAACCGATAATTATTTAATGTAACATTTTATGTAACAGTCATTCATACTTGAGTTGTTAACAACAACATTTAATGGCACAACAACAATAATAATAAATATATTTATTTACTTTATTATTAACTTGTTAAATAACTTTGTCCTTTCACGTAAATATTTGTGCAACTGTGATATGTGCAAAACAGCAAATACCCTTGGGCTGTTTTTGATTCCTTAATTCTATTGGACGAAAATCATATGGGGTAACACTCCTCTGTTTGTTTATTGAAGGGTACATAAACTAATGCCTAAAGCAATAAATCTTTTTAGAAATCTTTAAAGAAAGCGTGTCCCTTTTCTGTTACATAAAAATGTTGTTTATTAATTATCGCTTGACCCGAAGAACCTACATTATTATTATGATTATTATATTGGTTAATATATTCATTATGTATTCCACTAAAGTCTAAAAATACATATTATTATTGTTATTTCTTTAAAAGCAGAAACAAAACAATTTAAATTGGTTTTGTTGACTGGTCACTTAGAAAATGTATGAAAAATGATCAGCTGCTCCCTATTTTTTCCAAGCAATTTTGAGATAAAATGTTTAAAATATGCCACTTATGTACACCAAGTGAATCAAATATAACTGAATATTCAGCATTCAAAATGCAACAGCTGCAATGGTGCCATTGTAATATTTGCATACTGAATTGTGTTCGGCCTTGTCATCTTTTTAACCATCTATAGCCAACAAGTATAAATTGGCAGCCTGAAAGTCTGAAATCTTAGCACTATTCTTATGCTACCCTTCAAGCACTTGTATTACTTTCAGGAACAGCATATCCAGTGCAATATTCCAGTGCAGTATTTAGTAAACCACTGAAACTCCAGTCATACATAAACTAACGTCAGATTTCACAACTGGAGGCCTGCGATAGACATTACAGCCTCATTCATGTGCACTGACATGAAAAATTGACAGTAAATAAAATGGCAAGTTCAACACTCATGTGTTAGCAGGAGTGACGAATCCCCTGCATATAAAGGTGCGAAGCCCTATGGCTAGTTTCACACTCTGGACTTTATTATCTTCCACCTAACTAGGTTAATTTACTCCTCACTGGTTAGAGGCATATGCGATGAATATGTAAATAGCTACACACAAGGATGTCTATAAATAGTTCCTGAGCCCCAAACTGTGCTAGCCCAAACACCGAAGGCTGTGTTTCAGTCACAATTGGCCCAGAGTTGCTGAGACTCACACACTCTCCGGTTACACGCAAAACCTCTGTGTGTGCATGTTCTGGCAAAGCAGCAGCACAAAATGCCCTCTGAAATAAAAACAAGCTTATTTGAATCGTGTCACCTCCTCTGGTACCTGTGCCTAATGTGTGTGCGATTACGTAAGAGGGATTTTGTGGTGAAGAGGCGCCCCTGTAGTGCTGTGTGTTACATGAATGTGTGCAGTAGCAGCCGAATGTGTGTTGCACCATCAGCAAAAGCTCATTTAACTCTCTGGGGCACCTGCCAGCCACATACTGCGTGTTGATTTGGGATGGGGGTTGCATTGATAGAATAATGCAGTGTTATTCTACACCATCTCTGCCATTCACCTTGGGCGAGGGGTGATGATGCAAGTCACATTTTGCCTGTGTGTTTGAGATATAATGAAACATAAAGAACAATTTGTCATTAGCCAACCTGTACTGCTCAGATAAACAGCAGTTTCTTTATCTGCGCATACTTTGTTTGGTAAATATTAGACAATAGCCATGCATCTTTATAAATAAATGTGTGAATCCTACCGTTACATCTCTTTTTTTTTAATGATTATTCATGTCATTATCTGGGTTGCAAGCACATCGTTTTATGAAATGTGCTGACTGTGCTTATAATGGCATCTCCCATCTCTCAGAGGAAGCTTATTCTCTGTCTCTTCCCAGGATCCTTACTTTAAGAAAGAGACAGGGAGGAATAGAATGATGTATGAGAGAGCAAAACAGTCGTGCACAGATAAGGGGTCAAAATTTAATCTCACTATTCTACATTTTATAATTTAAATTAAAATACTTTCTTTGACTACAGCTTAATGAGCAATGATAACTATAAGTAAGCCATTCGAAGGATGATTTCACAGAGTTAATTTTGTATATAAAAAAACAAAACATTAACAATAATAAAGACGAAAAATGCACATCTAGACAATAATTTAACCGTTTTCCGAAAATATGACAAAAATATTATAAAATAAAAATAATTTAATATTAAAAACACATTAAATGTAAGTGAAATTGTGAATCTTTCCATAATGCACTAAAACGTGCAACTAATTGTTTTAAAAACAGTTTTCACATATATTGTTGCATTTTTTAAATTTGAAATTAATACAGCAAATGTTTGAATACTTGGTCAACTAAAATATTATTTTTGTTCACTGAAATTAGATTTTAGTGTAAAACTCTGACTTAAAATTAGTTGTAAAAATACATTAGTTTAAATACTGTAATGTTTAAATATTTTGTTTACTTTACATTTACATCAACTAAAATGTCATTTCTGACAACTGAAATCAGATCAGACTGCATAAAAGTGACTAACATGAATGGATATGACATGCAAAATTAAGAATATTTTCTTCAGTAGACAAACCAAAACCCAAAAATTGTGTAAAAAAAAGGACTAGCATTCCTATTCTCACAGCAGCTCAATAGCAGTTGCTCAGCTGTTGCAGGACCTCCGGAAATTAGCGATTTGTGTCAGTTGATGTCAAAATGACTTAAACTTTACCAGTTTATTAGCACCATAGTATGTTCCTTTCATGTATATCACTCGTAAAGGTTCCACAATATAGCAACATGTTGCAGCACAGAGGAAATGATTTATGTTAGTAGTTTGCAGAAAGACAAATGTCTGCGCAACGAAAAGGGCGACCAGAAATAGGAAATGATGCTAAAGATGGCGGCATCTGGAGTTTGTGGAAAATCAAGAAAGTCTATCTGAGTGAGAGTGTGAGAGGAGGGTGAGATCATGCAGAAACAGCCAACCCATCTCATTGTCCACCATCTGTCCCTGCCTCCCAGCGGGACACCCATCAGGGATGATGAAGACATTTTAGATCTAGAACACAATAAAAGGGACGAGAGAGATACTCAACCTCCCACCATTGAAACAGGCAAACCTAACGTTAGGAGGTTACAGGGGCCTTGGGGATGCGAGGGAGATAAAGAGAGCAAATACAAATGGACACTGAGAGAAACCACAACATGTATGCAGTTTACATCAAGGACAGATTTCAATTTGACCTTTGGATCTCATTTTGCATGTTCACAATGTTATTTGGAAGTTAAATCTAAACTTATTACAAGAAGGGCCCTGCAAATCCATTCTCGGTGAGTGAAGACAAGGATTGGATTGTACTTGGGATCTCAAAGGATGTGGCTTCCTTGTTTTCAGTGTTTCTACTGGATGCCATGGGAGGAAGAAGCCACACCTTCATGGTTCAAAAAGTAAGCCGCACTAATCAAATACACAGGTGTTGAGGTGGGATGCTGGGTACATCTCTTGGGAACAAGGAATAGACTGTGCAGTAGAGGTTTTATTGCTTTGAATTTCCACATACAATGATTTTATTCCAAGGCATATTACATCACAGAAATTGGGTGTGACTTTCTAAAGTGTAGAAAAAGGGAAAAGCGTTCAGTAATTTTCAAGGCCAGGAGGCATTTAAGATCCTTGGAGGAACGATGCCGAAATAAATGAGGTATCCAATAACCTCCCTTTTCATTTTCTGTTACGCCTTTCATTTCCAACAAATATCCATACAGTGAAATGTGACTTGACAGAGTGCCTGGACTCAGCCCACGACCAGCAGATTATGATTTGGCCTCAGAGTGTGTAAAGCACCCTCATTAGTGCGGGAAGAACATTTCTTGCTTATTTCAAATAAGACGTCCGATTGTGCATTTAAGAATATGAGAGACTTGAAATTTGCACCCTGCTTGATAACAGCTTGAGTTATATCACTTGTCCCCCCCCCCTCCTGTTGGAAATTATGCTAATATGATCATTGGCTACCATGTCGGAAGATATAGTCATTTTCATAACACCATGAAAGCTCTCCAGCTGGGGAGGTCACGTGGTTCTTCAATGCATTTAACATGTGCTTTTCCTGACGTTTTGTGTGGAGCGTGTGCTCTAATCTGAGCCATTTTGGGGTTTATTTCTGGTCTTTTTTGGAGTAAATAGTGCAACTTTTTCTATTCAAGGCTATTTTTTAAAACATTTTAACATTCCAAAATGCAACATTCTGGGTAATGTACTGTGAAATCACAATCTAGATTGATTGATATATGTTATGACGGCAACAAAATTATTAACTTCTTCAACTAACATCAGACAAATGGGAACATTAAGGACTTGATGGAGGTCAGTGGCATCAAGAAAGTAATTTAAGTTTCAAGGTAATATTTAATATGTTTTTATAGGTTAATATGCAAAGATAACTATAAGCTGAAGGGTGATTCCAAGGAGCAGAGTTAATTTTATCAACAACAAAAAAAAAAGTTGATGAGGTTTTTATTTTTTCAGTGATAAAGATGAGACAAAAAAGTGCACGTCATGACAATCATTTAACAATTTTAATTAAAACAAACTGTTGCTGAAAATGTGCCAAAAATTTGATCCTATTTTAGTCAAAAGCATCTTATATAAAATATAAAAATGTGCGCTTTTACAGCATTATTACTCTTTTGGTACCCCTTTAGATTAGAGAACATATTCACTATTAACTAAGAGTTTCCCCTTAATAAACTCCTAATTTGCCGCTTATTGATAGTAAGTAAGGTAGTTGTTGTAGTACTTAGGTTTACACTAGGTGTTGGAGAGGGTTAAGGGATCTAGTCATGCAAAATAATGCAAAATAATGCATTAATATGTGTGTTATAAATCCTAATAAACAGCCAACATGCTAGTAATATGCATGCTAATAAGCAACTACTTAGTAGTGAGTATTGTCCTCTAATCTAAAATGTTACTAGTACTCTTTTAAATTCAGACTGAAATGTACTTTTTTAATTTGTTAATGCATGTTCCTGATCTTATTATGCACAATTCATTGGTGCTCAATATTCTATGTGAAATAATGTTTGTCTTTTACCAAAACAGAACTTTTCTCTTTAGGTAATGTCACCAAACCCTTTCGTTTTCCCATCCAAAGATCTGACACCATTCTAGTATTTAACGGCCACTTTTTTAACGATCAACTGGATTGCAGATGAAAAAATAAATCTACTTCAGTTGACCCAAAAATGTCACGTTATGAAAATAGAAAGAGTTGTGAATGTCATTTTAGCCTGACTTAAAAACAATTCCTTGATAAAGCTGTAAATTCAGAACCATGCCTGGAAATCGCTCTGAAAATAAGCCACCGGAATACTTCTTCCTAATTAAAACGTATAATTATTTTCCTGTCACACTGCTGTAGGGCTGTTATAATTTGTCCCTGAATGCTAGAAAGCACAAGCCCTGCTTATAATATCCAGCTGACAGCCGTCTGTGTTTCCGCGGGACTGATAAATGTCGGCGTTTCACCGCGCCACAGAATTGAAATTGGAGAATGTTGCGCGACCCGGAGTCATTGTGAGCCTCGTTGTTTGTCTTTCTGTCTTCCCTGATGAAACCTGGCACAGGTCTCCGACTCGAAATCAGCCCTGCGAGGTGAACAAAGCGGAGGCGTGGGGATTGCCGCGCAGGGAAGTGGAGGAGGATGGTTGGAGGGAGCTGAAACGCTGAAGAAATACCAGTAGTAATGCTGCACCTGAAAGACAGAGAACTGCAGTGGAACTGTGGGTAAAACGTCCAGTCAGATGAATGCGGCTGCTTTGTGCAATTACAAGCAGAAGTGGAGGGATAAAGAATAGACGGTGAGGGCTGTTAGTCAAAAGTAAATGACACTCTGTCTTCCCTCGCCCCTCCCCCTTCACTCAATTCGTCTCCCTCCTTCTCGCAGCCCAATTTATATTCTGGCACGCAGATTAGTCTCCTGAAAAAGGAGTGCTGATGATTTCACCACCAAAGAACTGCACATTGCAGTGAAGTGAAGGATAGAATGAGGTAAAAGAACGAGCGGATAGATTGTGTTTTACTCCTTCCTCATTATTTGGAGTTTCCTTTCACAGAAGTCATCAAGAACGGCTCAATTTTTCCAAACACTTTTCCCACTGCTATTCCTCCTCCAAAATCGTAGCATCTCTGTGGTGTAGTTTTGGCGTCTGTGGGAAATGGTTTTTTGGAGCAGATCAATCATAGGGAATCTTTGTAAGCTGAGCTATAAGACAAGTAATGCATTTGAAATGCTGAGACAGACATTGATCCGTTCAGTTGCTCATTAGTTTGGCATTGAATTTGGGAGAGTGTGATAAACACCGGATGATCTTCACTCAATAAGAGTGGGTCAATGCCAAAGCCAAAAGCCTCGGCACGTTTTAAGGCCTGAAAAAGTCTAGGCTAATCTCATGCATTTGCATTTATGATATGAAAAGTAAAATGCAAATACGGTTTTGGCTGTTCTCAATTTACCTGCCATGGTAATGGAAATAGATCACTCGAATTTGATTAACAAAGCTGTGGTAATCCACACCATAACTTACCAGCAGTAGGGTTGTCAAGATACCTAAATTTCAGCCAGTACTAGTGACATTTTATGCTTTCATCAGTTTTCAAGAATAAAGAATCATGAAGATTTTTTTTGTAGCTGTATTTTCAGTGTGCCGACAAAATATTTCTTTATACATTTTTATTGTTGCCCAGTTTGGATTTTTAATTTAACTATTAATTTTAAAACCACAGCAAAAACAAATAAGCTTTTGAATTAAAATATTTAGATTAAACTATATTTAATAAATAATATTTAATAATATATTTATATTTTACAGTGTATTTCAATTTAGTATTTATTTATTTAATCAGATATAAAAAAATAATACTTTTTTCAAAGTAACTAGTAGAATAACCATTGAGTAATAAGAAAACAAATGAATGAATAAAATAGGCAGCTTCAAGTACCACAGATACATTGAAAATGTAGTATAAATTTCACATTTAATTACAGTCATCTTTATTTAAAATGTCCAAAAAAATTATATTATATTACATTATATTATATATAAGCTCACAAAGGCTGCATTTATTTGATTAAAAAGTACAGTAAGTTATAAAAAAGTAACAGTAATATTGTAAAATATTATTATAATTTAAAAGATACAAAAGTTTTGAAAAATGAAAATAAAACAATTTTAAATTGTTAAAATGGTTAAAACAATACATTTTGAAATGTTTGAAAATATATTCTTATGATGGCAAGGCTAAGAATTTCTAAAATAAACTGTTAGAATCGACTAGTGCAGTACATCTGACACTAAGCAGTCAGTTAAAGGTTGTGTTTTTTTCTAACTTTATATGCAGAGACAACTACAGTATAATTATCATTAGATAATCTCTATGCACACACAATTTATCATCATCAACATAATTTTCCTAAGTATTTTGTTATTTACCAGTAAAAATGTGCTTAAAACGTCATTAAAACAAGACAAATTTACTTGAGAAGCAAAACTTTTGAAAATAATAGGATAATAAGACTTGTTTGTTTTCAAAGGATCTTGATTGTATTTTTCGTTCCCTGCCGGCAAAGTATTTTCAGCACAAACTTCAGTAAATCTTGTTACATTTATGCTAAAAACAAGAAAAAACAACTTGCCAACGGAGCAAGAAAAATAAACTGAGCTTCATATCTCATGCAGTTTTAATTCTTCAGTAAATTGATCTTGTTTTAAGGATTTAAAACAGATTTAAAAGTGTTTTTGCACCGCTCAGTCTTAACTTCCTGTTATTGGCTATGAGTCTCAATAGGGTCGATTGAGCGAAAGCTGGAATCCAGACCTGATCTTTGATGTATAAAGCTCTCCCTCCTCCTGGTGGACGCCCTTCCTCTTTCTCATCCCCTCTTCCTCACATCCTCTCGTTTGATCAATGGTTCATCAGAAGGGCTGGACTTCAGTGGGGTTCAGCTCACGGTGCAATGACGCCAATCAGCAATCCATTCAGGCCTGAGAAAGACAAGACGCTTGTTAAAAGCTCTGTCGGAGAGAGCGGGCCGATTCTAATGAGAACCACGTCCACCGCAGCTGCCGGCCTGAATGAGAGCTTTCAGGAAGCCAAAGACAAAGCAAGAATTATGGCACACGGAGGAATCGCACAGCTGCTTCTGCCTCTCGGATCGAGTGATGTTTCTCTGCTCGGATCGTGTGAGCCGTGTTCAGGTGTTTTATGCTGTGAGTGACATACTGAGGCAGTTGCTTGTTTTTCTTTCTTTGCTGAAGCCGACAGATAAGGCGCAGGCAGAAGGTTGAGTGACGTCATCTGTCAAGATGTGTGGAATAATTCTCTTGCTTCTGTTGTCGTGGCAACGTGAAGACACCTGACAAATGCTATTCTGCAGTTTTTTCTCCCTTTCCTCCTTTCTAATTGCTTTGGTATTTGCAGAACGGGCCTGGAGAGAAGGGAGATGTGTGTGTGTTTCATTTTCTCATGAAAGGCCAAATATCTTCCTGAATGCATGACTTTGATTGTTGCACTATCAGGGCATTACGTCAGAAATGGGAAGTCATACCGCCAACTACTATCCAACATTTCTTACAAGATGATATACACCGCCTACTGTTTTCACTGTGTGGGTGAATCTCATGAAACCTGTCAAGAACATGTCTGGGTCATATTTAAAGAAAATTAAGCCTATTTTAGAACCATTATGATATTTGTGCATTATTTTTATGACGATAAAGTAAAACATTTTTACTGCAAAACTCTTATTACCAAAATGCAAAAAACTCATTCTCATTACTAGAATATAGAAAAACACCCCAAAAAATACTATTTAAATTAATTCTATTTACATAATTTTTATATAACTATTTTAACTATTTTATATTTTTTATAATTAAAATTTTAATCCTTTTAGAATTTAGTGTTAGAATTACTAACTTTTGACCAGTAGTGTGTGTGTGTGTATAAAGTTTAACATTTATTTATACAAAACAGTGTCGGTTTTATTGCATTTAATGCTTATTTAAATAAAAATATTAATATATTACAGTATTTTGCTGTAATGCAATCAATTGGTAAATATATTTTAATATATTAATTGTAATTTAATATTAGAGTAGAGATAATCACTGTTGAGAATGACACAAATTATAACATGAAATAAAAACAAATACATTACGCTAATGAGAATTTGTTAAGAGAATAATGTGTGTAATTGTTATGAAAACCATGTGAATATTACAAAAAAAAAAAACATTAATGTGTCTCCATTTTTTTTATTCAAAATATAGTAATTTTATTTCTGGTTAAATGTGACCAGGACATGTTTTTGTGAATTTCAATTATGCTCGAATGTTTGGATATGTGTGAATAAACTTTAAAAGTCATGACAAAAAAAAAAAAAATTATTTATATGTATATATATATATATATATATTAGTGCTGTCAAATGATTAATCGTGATTAATCATCCAAAATAAGTTTCATAAATAAAAATAAATAAAAAGTTTTATAATTTTTTTTTGTTTATGTAACATATGTGTGTGTACTGTGTATATTTATTAAATATAAATAAATACACACACAGTATATATTTTGAAAATATGTACATGTATTTACATGTGTATATTTATATAATTTATATATATAAATATTTAATATACAAATATAACATTTTTCTTAAATATATACATGCATGTGTGTGTATTTATATATTCATAATAAATATACACAGTACACACACACACGCACATATATAGGTAGATAGATAGATAGACAGATGATATATACTGTATATATGCGCTAGCTAAAGCACAACACACTGCTTAAATAATCAATTGATAGTTGATTACAATCAATAACAATAATCTCTACAGTCCTATGATGTGAAACTGAACAATCTACATTAGCTATTCATACACACCCTCCATCCATGACTGCTTCTTTATAGTTATTGGGATACCACATGCTCAAAAGATGTTAAAATGAAGCGATGTGGGAAATCGCCCCCAGACAAATTAATATGCTGTGTTGACAAAATAGAGCTCAAACCTTTTCCACCCATGTCACTGTTTAAACATTCCTTTATACTTCATTTACTTTCATTTGGACTTTGTAAGCACATTTTCACGCTCTTTCAGCCACTGCAGCATCTGGTGCTGTAGTACGGCACTTGATAAATGCATCCATACAACGTTGAGTTTTCTAATTATCGGCTCTCACTTTGAAGTCAACAGGAAATCAAAATGGACCCTATTTACTTTCTTAATACATGTTCCTGCGCGTACAGTGCACAATTTATCAGTTGACATTATTCCAAAGAAAAAAAATGTCTTTGTATTCATCAATCAAAATCTAATAACTTTCAGATCAAAACACTGTTAGCCAGTTGCAATCATAAGAATTCATTTGTTTCCTACTCTAAGTCTGGAATTTGCGATAGACCTTTTAGGTCGATGTCAAAGCATAAAAGAGTCAACAGAGGGCAAGCTTGCCAACAAACCGTCTTTGCTATTCACTTGGGTGCATTTAAGCTTCTCTCCTCATTGTCTGAAAAGGCCCATGTAATCAACACCAGGAAGCTGGAAAAGTAAAGCCAGCTTTTTACCGTTTCTTTTTGATGCATCAGCGATAGCAGCATTAGCATTTCAAGCTTCCTTATAAAAGAATGTGGCCAAGAACACGCCACGTACCCCCTTTAAACGCGAGCAAGCGCCTGATAGCTACCTATTAAGGATCACAGGGCCTTTGATCTTCTAAGCAAAGCTATAGAGCGCCCAAAATCTGGTCTCAACCCCTTTCTGCTACTGTAACCTAAATAAGCTGTAAAATTCAGCATGTTGTCAGCCTCTTATATCCACCCTCCAAGGCCAGAAGTGACTGTGTCATGAATTAGACATTATCAACAGTGCTAACAGACTACTTGAAAGAGGAAATGTGCAAGAAATTATATTGATTGAGTGCAGTAGTGCTGTAATTCAACGCTCGTGTCTAAATGAAGCACCATGATTCTTCTCTAGTACTGCCTCAAATCGAGATATGTGCATTTAAAGAGCAGAGAATTCACTTAAACCTTTTATAAAGGGGTCAAGGTTCAGCTAGGTAGCAGGTAGCTGATAGATGTCGTAACAAAATCATCTGATGGCCAAAAAGCTTTTTTCTCTCTCCATTGACAGCCATTCGAAATTCGGATAAAATAGAATTTAAAATAAGATAGCAAAAAAGTAATATAATGTAATAAGTCTTATAAAAGACCATGTTTACTTACTTTTAGTATTTCTTGAGCAACAAATCAGCATATTAGAATGATTTTTGAAGCATCATGAGACACTGAAGAGTAATGGCTGCTGAAAATGTAACCGTGTCATCATAAGAATATATTTTCAAACATTTAAAAATATATTCAAATAGAAAAGAGTTTTTCAAAACTTTTGAATCTTTTAAATTATATTAATATTTGACAATATTACTGTTACTTTTTTATAACTTGCTGTACTTTTTAATCAAATAAATGCAGCCTTTGTGAGCTTATATATAATATAATATATTAATAAGTATTATTATTATTATTATCAGCCATACATTTGTTTTATTAAGGGGGTCATATGATGCGATTTCAAGTTTTCCTTTCTCTTTGGAGTGTTACAAGCGGTTTGTGAATAGATACGATCCCTGAAGTTGCAAAGACTAAAGTCTCAAACCCAAAGAGATATTCTTTATAAAAGTTAAGACTTGTCCATGCCCTCCTAAAACGCCTCGTTTAAACACGCCCCCACATATCTACGTCACTGTGTGGGAAGATTTGCATAACACCACCCAAATGTTCACGCAAAGAAAGAAGGCGTAACTTTTATTCTCGCTGTAGTATTGTTGCTGCCGTCGCCTCCATGTTGTGAAGACGCTGTGTTTCGTTGTGAAAGCGAAACTACTTTGTTTGGTCTTCCAAAAGAGGACGATATCCACTTCGTCATGCCTGGAGCTGATCCGTGCTGGTCGTTGAGGAAATAAATCAACTTCGCGCTGTGGATCGCCGGATCGGCTTTCACCGTGGACGAAGCGGAGTCCAGCCCGGGGTCGTCACATGTGGTTGCCGCAAGCCCACCGGCCGCTCCTTTGTCAAATCCGCAGGCCGCTCCTCACTCAAGCCTGCCGTGTGTTTCGTTGTGAAAGTGAAACTACTTTGGTTTGGCCTTCCAAAAGAGGACACAACTAGAAATCAGTGGTTAAGTTGTATTTACAACACTGTTCCAGAACAGTTCAACCCAAATATTCAGATGTGTGCAGTGCATTTTATGGAGGACTGTTTCCTGATCCTGG